CATTTCCCCAGGTTCATTTGGATAACTGATAACTCAGGTGCCTCACACCCCAGGGAGTGGTCTTAACAGAATACAATAAATACAATTTTACAATATCAAACCACATAAAGCAAGAGTATTGAAACTACAGACATTACATACAATACAGGAGAAAACAACACCAACAAGAGAAAACATTTCTACCAAGAGATGAAGTATTGGGGAGGTTCTCTCACCCCTCTTTAATAAGGGGTTAATTTCTTTTTAAAACATAGATATTACAAATTAGCCCAGAGGTTTCAACCTGTGGTCTGCTGGCTATGGATTCTTTTGCTTGATGGTTTGTTAGTATTTTGTTTATAAAAATTTGGCATTTAAAGAATTTTCTTTCTTTTCTGTTAAACTCAAAGGGTTTGCTGATTGGTGCCGAAAGTCAATTATAAACTCTTGTCATTGTATCTTGGAGAAAAGAAATGGAATTTTGTCTCAACACTTGGACTTTTAAAACTTTGTTAGTCGTTGATTTTTATTTGACACATCATCTACCTGCTTAAAAACAAACTCCTTTCTATTCTTTTTGTCTTTGTCAGAAATTCTAAAATTTTTAATCCATGGCCAATCCAAAGTCTTTGCTGTGCAATGAACAGAAGTGAAATACCAGGGCATAGATGGTAATAAAGGAGTCTTTTACCCATTCCTTCTCTCTTGCATTTTCCCATCAAAATATTCCAAATTTACCAATCACCTAAAGATCTACACATCACTCTACTTGTCTCATCTCAGAAAATACATCTTCCTTATAATCACAGAAAGAAATAGAAATTATATAGATCGTGATTTCCTTTTACTTGAAAATTGTATAGCATAATAGAAGGAATATAGGTTTGGGAGATAGATAAATTGGGATTTGAATTCTGACTCTGCTACATACTGACTGTGTAATCTTAGAGAAGTTATTTGATCTCTGTAAGCCTTTTAGGATTGTTGTAAGGATAAAATGAAATTAAATAAGTAAGGTAATTGGCATGAATAGAAGCTACTATTGTTTCAGTTCTGGAACTCTCTCTACTTTCTCCCTTTATCCTCTTTAAAATCAAGTCTTCCACAGTTCAAAAGACACATGCCCTCCAGTCTCCTCCAGAAAGTGTTCCATCGGCTATTCTTGTCTTTGCTGTGTCTTCACACGTTCCCACTCCTCCTGACTTTATACAAAAACCCCACTGCACCTGAAAAACTTACTTCAACCCAGCATTCAAGATGTTACCATAACTCCTTCCTTCAAATCATGGGCAATTGGTGGTGAGAGTAATCAACGTCCTAAGTCTCAATTCAGTTAGTCCTACTTATTATCGTCTATCCTCCAACAGCTACTCCTTTACTCAAAAATTTTCAGAAAAGCCTTCAAGGCAGCATTCTTTCTCAGCGTCCTTTCTCATTCAGCACCTTTCTTTCCTCTGAATATTTTCTGCACCAGTAACACCATATATTATGTATGCAACATTGGACAAATTTTCCCCCACTTTGGACCTCTGTAATGCCACTACCTACTTAAGTTTTTGTTTCATTACTTATTCAGAACCATTCTAATCCTTATATTGTTTTTATTATTGGACTGTTGGGCCTTATTGCATCATATTTCTCTTCTCAAACCATTTCAACAAATTTAAGTCACTCATTTAAAAAATCTTCAATAGAATATGTCCACACCCAGATCAGTGTTAACAGTACACGTATATAAGTTTCTTTTCTCTGTTTTTCCTTAGGGATGCTACCTTCCCTATGATAATTCATAACTCTTTCATATATACTTCAGTTCTTGACTTTCTGAATACGTTTGCTTAAACCTCCCTCTTAACTTGAGCTACCATAGGATTCTGATGGACTCTGAACTTGTTTCTGAATCTTCTCCATTCCATTATGTGTTGTTCAGTTTTAACTATATTAAGTCCTGACATTCTGTATTAAATCTGCAACTTCAATTAAGTAAAAGTTATCTCAGAGTTTTTTACTTTGACTCACCTCCAGCCTCTCACTGGGATCCATATTAATGACCCTTGATGAAACTTTGCATTCTTCCAGGATAAGCACATAGTCTGAATTTTTACTCAATACTACAAAAGCAGGATAGGTAGAACATTACTATTCAACCACCATTTCCCCTGCCTTTATCACTAGAGTTTGTATCAGTCTAGCCTTAAAATCAATCTACCTCCAATTTGACCCAGTGTGAGATTGGGTAAGATTCCCAGTTTGAGACCTCCTTATTCACCTGCTCATTCGTCTTGTAACCAGTCTGCCTTTCCTCACACACACTGAAATTTCTAACACTGCCTCTGTACTTACTTTCAACCTGTCTTTCTATCCTATTTCATGTTCCCTTTTCACAGCATCATCCTCAATATCCATAGTCTTTATTGCTGCCTTTCTTAGATGATAACATCTCTCCAGAATGCAGCATAAACATGCATATCCACTCATTTCCTCTTTTCCCTCTTTTGGCCTTAGGGAAAAAACCCTCTGCTTGTTTGTACCGCCCAGGCTTGGTTCACATCTGTCCGGCCTTAAAATGGATTCAGTATGTGAACATGTGTGAACTTCCTCCTTGACCTACTTTTATTACTCAAAACAATCCCACCCTATTACATGCACCTTCAGGTTTGGATATCAGAAGTATTAATGTTGTAAGGATTGCTGCTGATGCTCTCCGTTCAGATTTCACTTCAGGAATTTATCTCTATATGACCATTTATTCTTCTGAATCAACCCGCCTCGACATGATTATCTGAAAGAGTTTTCAGGCAGCCGCCAGTTTCCCGACGACAATTTCTTTCTATATATTTCTCCCATTTTCCTTGATTCCATTAATTGTGATCAAGTTTAACAGGCAACACTATGGACTGTAACCATTATAATGTTCCTCAATATGTCTGAGAATGATTTAATATGTATACTGTTGATTTAATTCCAATTTTACTTTAAGAACTTCTTCCTTTCCATTTTTCCTCTGCTCCTTTTCATTGGAAGAATATTAAACATCTGAATACTATGTCCGTCTGTAGGATTCATATTTTAAAGTGCTAAATATAGTTCTTTCAAAGTCCAATTGATTGCACTGTACCGCCTTTGCTTTATACTTGACTATCCTATAGCCTCTCCCTCTTTAAATATTCTACATTGTCTTTCTTCCCGTAGAACAGTACTTGCCCACAGATATAAGAGATAGCATCTACACCTTCTTATGTTGACTAGTATGCTCCTACCAACTGGCATCAATACCACACATGCCACCCCTCTAGCCCCAAGGTGGCCGACATCCCCAGACCGTGAGCTCTTCAGGAGCTTTCCCGTTCTCTGCAATACTGCTTTACTGACCCTGAGCCCCTCTCATGACCATAAGGTTCTCTCCTCTCCTCCATGCTACCTGTCCCTTTCTTGTCCCATTGAATCCCCTGACACAACTCGTATTCTGTTGACTGCCTTCTCATGGCTGCCTGATGTCCACTGTATCTTGCTATCCATGCTAGATGTGGAAATAACCTTGCTGGGTCCGTGCTCTGCCATCTGATGAACTCTCATCTTCGAAAGACCCTCTGGTTCATCTTCAGCATCCTGTCCTACTTCCCCTACCACCTGCCAGTGATGACACAGATTCACTGTCTTTTCTTCGACATCTACTCCCATCATGATCTGCCCTCATGCTCACCCTGACGCCAGTTATTTTGTCCCCAACATGCTGTACCTAAATCCATCTACTGTTCTGATTTACCCCCAAGCCCAATACTTTTTTGGTTCTACCATTGTGGAGAGAGTTATTGCTTCTCTGGGCTTCTCTCTGACCTTTCACATCTCACCAGGTCACACAATGACAGGGATGTCTCTAGTGTTTTCCATGGGCCACTACCACCACCTCCTCATCCTTCTCTATTCTCCTCCCACCTCTCCTGCCTTCTTAGAATTCCTGAGCCACTCTGCGCTCTCCCCCTGCATGGGCTTCCTCAGGCCCATGGTCCACTTTGGGGGAAAGTTCCTAGATTCTCCACATCAACTCCCTCCTTAGAGATCTTTGCCATCCTTCTTTGTGCAGTGCATTCCTTGATGCTGTCTACAAGCCTCTCCTATTCCTAGCTGTTAGAGGCCATCACCTGCCCTCTCTCATTCTTCTAGCCGGCTGGACCACCTCTCCTCTACTGTACTCTCCCACGTCTAGGACACTGCTCACCTGACCTCCTACCTCCTGGGTCTGGTTCATGGCTTCTGCCACTTTACTTCTCTACCGCATACATAGCAAAGAAACTGTCTTACCTGAGCTATGTGGCATTCTTTCAGCTACCATCCGTGATTCTTCCAACTGGATTCAGTAGTCTTCTCTGAAGTGTTCCCTTCTTAAACCCCACCCACAGCTCAGGCCAATCAGTCGGCTTTGCTACATATATACTGTACTGACTGCAAGCTCCACCCACCAACCTATGCTCATATCCCTGAGGACCCAGGCTGTGCTTTCCTCTTGGGCATCTCTCAGCATTGCCCCTTGTATCCCTTCATGTTTCCCTTCAGATCCCATGTTGTACAAACTTCTGACACACCACTTGGGGAGCCTCTTCCTGTGATTCTTGTATCTCTTTCCTTTCACCACAACACTTTCGCCTTCAGCCTTTGTTCTAGCCTCACACCTGGGAACCCCAAGGCCAACCCCACCGCACTCAGTCTCAACCAGCACAATGTCCTGGCTACTGCTGTTGTCCCTCCTCTCCTTGCTTCCTCCCTCGCAATCATCTCTCTCCCAGGTGTTTTTCCTTGAATGTTGTCACCCATACCGTCTGCCCTTCCTTTCCTGTGGACCTCCCACCCGGTGCGCTCTGCTCACGGCCCCACAACCCAGCTTCCTTTGGGCCAGCACTCCCGTCTCTCTCACCCTCCTGTCGCATGCATCCTCGCTTCCGGGACCGTCACCTTGGCCATGCGCTCCCTACCCACCGCCAGTGAATCCCAACCACCCCCATCCTTCCAGGGGCCTAGTCGGCTACATCCATTTGCTCGCTGTCTGCCTCGTCCTGGGTCCTCGACCCACACCCACGGCTGACGTTCCTGACTCTGAGGCCTCCGTCCACCCCGACTCAGGGGCCCATGTGCTCATGCTCGTGCTCCACCTCTGCCCAGCTCTCCACTCTCTGCCCCTTCCACCCAGTGATTCTCACCCGAGGATGCATGGCCCCCAAGGCAGCCTATCAGCAGCATCTTTCGGGCGTGTTTTTGTGTTTTCTTTTTCCTTTGTTTTTGGTTTTGTTTTTGTTCGAGCAGAGCACTGCTCCCCCTCAGATGTTCTGATAGGTAGGTTGTCCCTCCTCAGGTCAGACCCGCGACACGGTCCCCCTGCAGAGCACCGGCCCTGTGGTCCTCTCGTCTCTCCTCGTTTCCTGCCAACCAGACCTTCCCCTTGCGTCTTTCCTGCAGCTACTCTCCTTGGTCCTCTCGGGGGCCGTTCTCTCGTCTTCCTCACCCCCAGCCCTGCGTGGGTAACGATCCTCAAGCTCCGTTAAAGAAGATGGTTCCCTTCGTACCTAGAGCTCCGCTCACGTCCCCGCCAGCTCCCCCCTCCCCCCCAGCTGGCTGCCTGTCCATCGCCCCGCCTCCCCTCCTGTCCCACCCTGTCAACTCGACCCACCCCCCAGCCTGAACCCCGTCCCCAACGCCCACCCCATCCCTGCCGGATCCGTAGTAAAGAGCCTGGCCGAAGAGTTCCACCCTTGCCACCACATTCAAGGCTGCAGGAGCAGCCACTGCTCTCCGCCCACCGCTAGCCACCCCTTCTCCGCTCCTCCTTCCCCATGCCTCTGCCCCCGTTGGCGGGCCCCCGACGCGCCTCACTTCCAGCCCGCTGGCACCTCCGCCACCTCTCTGGATGTGGACATCCACATCTGCCACCTGCCTCTCATTTTCGCAAAACCCTCCTGTTGGTGTCCAGCCTGTCTTCCTTCCACCCACTCCACTCTCCATCCTCTCCTGCGGGGCCCTCTGAAGCCTGTCTGTCTCGGGGAGGTGACGCTCCCGCTGCAGTAGCCTCTCACGTTCAAGCTTCTCCCTTGCGACCTCTCCTCACGGGACGGGACGGGACGGGACGGGACGGGACGCATGGCTGCCCTTCCCCTAGTCGGCCCAGCAGAGCGCCCAGCCTCTTCCCTACGGCTCACGCCTCTCCTCTCAGAGCTCCCTAACGCCTGGCATTTAGTTGTATTCAGTCATCCCTTCTCCTTGGGGCTGTGCTCCCTCCCGTGTAGGGCCCTCACTGCTCACGCTCTTTCCATCCCCTCAGCGGGCCGCGTTCACTGCAGAAGCCATCTGCTGTCTCTCGTCTCGTCCTTCCGCTGGCTCCCACCACCGCCTTCCCTTGAGGCTCCCTCTTCCCTAGCCTTGGCCCGTCTCACCTTCCTGCCTCTTCCGTCTTCCCTTGCATCAAGCCACTGTCTACTGGCCTCTACGCGGTCCCGCCACTCAGTCCTCTGCTTCCTTCCTTTGCCCCCACGCCTTCCTTCTCTCTTCTTTCTTCGGGACCCATGCTGCGCCCCTGCCCATCGCCCTTGCTCTCCTGCTCCCAGTGGACCAGGTCGGGATCCACCCCGCTCTGCCCTCTTGCCCTCTTGGGCACGGTCCCCTCACAACACCCACATGCAGACTTTGAGACGCTCCTCTCGGTCTCCAGCCCTTTCTGCCTTGCCCTCTCTCTGTTGTCCCTCGGCTCCAGCCCGCAGGGCAAGAGCCCCCACCTCCCAGCCCCCACTGTCCCACCCCTCGCTCTCTCCCTCCGCGCCCCTTGGCTGGCAACGTCATCTTCTCCGACCCGACCTGTGACCCCGCGCTGGTCTGAAGGTCCCCGTCTATCCGTGCTTGCCTCTGCGGGCTCCTCCCGCCACGTGCTAGACTACCTCCATTCCTCTCCGGGTCCCCTGAAATAGCAGAAGCAGGCATTTGGTGATCTTTGCGAACCCTCACCTCCGCCTTGCTTCCTACCTGCTCCTCTGCCATTCCTAAGCGTGCCTGCCATCCACACCCTGGACTCCCTGCTCGTGAGTCCATCCCGAAGGCCCTGACGTGCTTCCTGAGCGGGGTGCCTCATAACTGCCAGCCTGCCCCGTTTCCTCTGTGTCACTACAGCCACTGTATCCCCTTTCCGCACCTGTTCCCCAGGGCTCCGGCTCTTCACACCCCCCCGGGCCGTGAGTCCCGCCTCCGCGCTCCCGCCCTGCTCCTGCCACGTGGCCTCCATTCCTCCCCTGCCAAGCCCCTTGCCCAGACATCGGGCCCGTGTCCCAACACCGCACGCTCTTCAGGCTGGCTTCCCCTTTTCCCACCCGGAGTCCCCCCGCACGTTCACGAGGTTCCCTCCCCTCTTCAGTCCCGCCTGCCCCTGTCTCTTCCCATCGGCTATCCTGACCCCACCCACAGCCCGCAGACCACCTGCTCACGGCTGCCCGAGACTCCACTATCGCCCTCTGCGCACGTCCCTGCTGTGCGGATTTCAACCCTTCTTGGCCCATCCTCCTCTTTTTCTCCCACTGTCGTCTCTGAGAGACCCTCGCGTCATCTTCAGCTCCCGTCCTCCTCGCCCTCGTAGCTGTCGGGCACGTGAGGCAGCCACCGTCTTTTCCCAGCAACTTGTGCCCTGGATGCCCTGCCCTCATGCTCCCCTCCTTGCCATCTTCATCGCCGACGTGCTGTGCCGAATCCATCTGCTCTCCCAGTTCGCTCCCAAGGCCCCTACCCTTTTAGCTGCCACCATTTTTGAGACGGTCACTCCTCCTCTGGGCGTCTCTCTGACCTTTCCCGTCTCCCCGTGCCCCACACTGACAGGGCTGTCTCCAGCACCTTCCAGGCCACTACCACCACCACCTCATCCTCCTCCGTTCTCCTCCCTCCCGCCTCTCCTGCGTTCCTTGATTCCTCGCCCACGCTGTGCTCTGCTCCCGGGTGCGCTTCCTCAGGGCCCTGGTCCACTCACGGGAACACACTTCCTTGATTCTCCACGTCCAGCCCTTCCTTCGGGCCCTTCGCCGGCCCTCGTGGCCCGCCACGTCCCTGGTCCTCTGTGCAAGCCTCTCCTGTCCCCAGCGGTCAGGCGCCACGGCCTGCCTCTCTCACGCTTCCGGCCGGCTGGACCGCCTCTCCTCGACCCTACTCTCCCGCGTCTTGCACGCTGCTCCCCTCACCTCCTGCCTCCAGGGCCCCATTTCCTTGCCTCTCCTCTCTGCTCCTCCCCTGCCTACAGAGCAACGGGACTGTCCTACCGGAGCCCGCGAACGTTCTTTCAGCTACCCTCTGTGACTCTTCCAGCGGGCCTCAGGACTTGGCGCTGCCGTGTGCTCCATGCTTAGTCCCTCGCCCCCGGCTCAACCCGCTTCGGCCGGTCGTCTTCGCCTCGCACACAACGTACTGAGTGAGCACGCTCCACCCACCAAGCCGTGCGCACGTCTCCGCGGACCCAGGCTGGGCTGTCCTCCTGGACCTGCGCGAACGGCCCCGCCTGTAACCTTTCACCTTTCCCTTCAGACCCCCTGTTGCACACTCTTCTGGCACACCTCTCGGGGAGCCCCTTCCCGTGACTCTCCGTTTTCCTTTCCCCGCAGCGCTCCTGCCTTCTTTCTGCCCTCCCTCCGCCCTCACGCCTGTGAACCCCAACCTCACACCACTGCGCTCAGTCTCCAGCTGCACAGTGCCCTGGGTTCTGCCATCGTCCGTCCGTCCTTGCCTCCTTCCTTCCTCCCTCCCTAGCAGGCTTCGCTCTCCCACATGTCCCCCTAGTGCTGTCTGCTGTCTCCCCTACCGCCTGCCCCTTCCTTTCCTGTGGACCTCCCACCCGGTGCGCTCTGCTCACATCCCCACAAGCCAGCTTCCTTTCGGCCAGCACTCCCGTCTCTCTCACCCTCCTGTCGCATGCGTCCTCGCCTCCGGGACCGCCACCTTGGCCCTGCGCTCCCTACCCACCGCCGGTGAATCCCAACCACCCCCATCCTTCCAGGGGCCTAGTCGGCTACATCCATTTGCTCGCTGTCTGCCTCGTCCTGGGTCCTCGACCCACACCCACGGCTGACGTTCCTGACTCTGAGGCCTCCGTCCACCCCGACTCAGGGGCCCATGTGCTCATGCTCGTGCTCCACCTCTCTGCCCAGCTCTCCACTCTCTGCCCCTTCCACCCAGTGATTCTCACCCGAGGATGCATGGCCCCCAAGGCAGCCTATCAGCAGCATCTTTCGGGCGTGTTTTTGTGTTTTCTTTTTCCTTTGTTTTTGGTTTTGTTTTTGTTCGAGCAGAGCACTGCTCCCCCTCAGATGTTCTGATAGGCCTCCCTTGGGGGCCATGCCCGCAGCCCCCCGCCTCGGGTGAAATCCACCCCCCCACCCCCGAGAAGAATCACTGTTGTGGAAGCCCCACCTGCCTCCCTGGGCTGCACTCTCCCCGTGGGCGCCTCTAGCCTTCCGTCGGTTGCCACTGACGCTTGCTTGTGCCTCAAAGACCCCAGCATTGCCCCCACGCTGCCATCAGCCCGGCGCTGTCCTCTTGGCACCAGCGCAGGCCCTCGCCTGAACGCTCACCGACACCCGACACGCCCGAACCCCAGTCTCCGGTAGAGCTCTCTTCTTGTCACGCCCCGCCCCGCCCCGCCCCGCCCCCCATCAACACCGCTCTAGCCCCCAGCCTCTAGGACTCTCAGGCACTGTGACAGTCTCTTTCCTTGGTCCCAATCTGCCCCTTCCCGGCCCTTGCCGCTGGCCCTCTCCCTAGGTTGTCCCTCCTCAGGTCAGACCCGCGACACGGTCCCCCTGCAGAGCACCGGCCCTGTGGTCCTCTCGTCTCTCCTCGTTTCCTGCCAACCAGACCTTCCCCTTGCGTCTTTCCTGCAGCTACTCTCCTTGGTCCTCTCGGGGGCCGTTCTCTCGTCTTCCTCACCCCCAGCCCTGCGTGGGTAACGATCCTCAAGCTCCGTTAAAGAAGATGGTTCCCTTCGTACCTAGAGCTCCGCTCACGTCCCCGCCAGCTCCCCCCCTCCCCCCCAGCTGGCTGCCTGTCCATCGCCCCGCCTCCCCTCCTGTCCCACCCTGTCAACTCGACCCACCCCCCAGCCTGAACCCCGTCCCCAACGCCCACCCCATCCCTGCCGGATCCGTAGTAAAGAGCCTGGCCGAAGAGTTCCACCCTTGCCACCACATTCAAGGCTGCAGGAGCAGCCACTGCTCTCCGCCCACCGCTAGCCACCCCTTCTCCGCTCCTCCTTCCCCATGCCTCTGCCCCCGTTGGCGGGCCCCCGACGCGCCTCACTTCCAGCCCGCTGGCACCTCCGCCACCTCTCTGGATGTGGACATCCACATCTGCCACCTGCCTCTCATTTTCGCAAAACCCTCCTGTTGGTGTCCAGCCTGTCTTCCTTCCACCCACTCCACTCTCCATCCTCTCCTGCGGGGCCCTCTGAAGCCTGTCTGTCTCGGGGAGGTGACGCTCCCGCTGCAGTAGCCTCTCACGTTCAAGCTTCTCCCTTGCGACCTCTCCTCACGGGACGGGACGGGACGGGACGGGACGGGACGCATGGCTGCCCTTCCCCTAGTCGGCCCAGCAGAGCGCCCAGCCTCTTCCCTACGGCTCACGCCTCTCCTCTCAGAGCTCCCTAACGCCTGGCATTTAGTTGTATTCAGTCATCCCTTCTCCTTGGGGCTGTGCTCCCTCCCGTGTAGGGCCCTCACTGCTCACGCTCTTTCCATCCCCTCAGCGGGCCGCGTTCACTGCAGAAGCCATCTGCTGTCTCTCGTCTCGTCCTTCCGCTGGCTCCCACCACCGCCTTCCCTTGAGGCTCCCTCTTCCCTAGCCTTGGCCCGTCTCACCTTCCTGCCTCTTCCGTCTTCCCTTGCATCAAGCCACTGTCTACTGGCCTCTACGCGGTCCCGCCACTCAGTCCTCTGCTTCCTTCCTTTGCCCCCACGCCTTCCTTCTCTCTTCTTTCTTCGGGACCCATGCTGCGCCCCTGCCCATCGCCCTTGCTCTCCTGCTCCCAGTGGACCAGGTCGGGATCCACCCCGCTCTGCCCTCTTGCCCTCTTGGGCACGGTCCCCTCACAACACCCACATGCAGACTTTGAGACGCTCCTCTCGGTCTCCAGCCCTTTCTGCCTTGCCCTCTCTCTGTTGTCCCTCGGCTCCAGCCCGCAGGGCAAGAGCCCCCACCTCCCAGCCCCCACTGTCCCACCCCTCGCTCTCTCCCTCCGCGCCCCTTGGCTGGCAACGTCATCTTCTCCGACCCGACCTGTGACCCCGCGCTGGTCTGAAGGTCCCCGTCTATCCGTGCTTGCCTCTGCGGGCTCCTCCCGCCACGTGCTAGACTACCTCCATTCCTCTCCGGGTCCCCTGAAATAGCAGAAGCAGGCATTTGGTGATCTTTGCGAACCCTCACCTCCGCCTTGCTTCCTACCTGCTCCTCTGCCATTCCTAAGCGTGCCTGCCATCCACACCCTGGACTCCCTGCTCGTGAGTCCATCCCGAAGGCCCTGACGTGCTTCCTGAGCGGGGTGCCTCATAACTGCCAGCCTGCCCCGTTTCCTCTGTGTCACTACAGCCACTGTATCCCCTTTCCGCACCTGTTCCCCAGGGCTCCGGCTCTTCACACCCCCCCGGGCCGTGAGTCCCGCCTCCGCGCTCCCGCCCTGCTCCTGCCACGTGGCCTCCATTCCTCCCCTGCCAAGCCCCTTG